GTAAAAAATAATAACAAAGTCATTATAATAAATTGAAATAAAAATCCGAATTCAAATTTAACTGCATGCGTGCCTATTTGCGTTGGTGTGGTTAGTGCGAACAGTTTCAACGAGTTCGCTCTTTGTTACAAGAAATCAATTTAAATTTCATATGACAGTTGCGGGCATCTTTGACGATTGCTTGTTGGAGTTTAGGAGGTCTCAAAAGAGAAGGAAAAAATTGTGAACAAATAAATCAATCATAATCATTATGAAAACAAACAAACAAAATGCGACTTACAGTTGAACGATGTTAGTAGGCTTTGTAGCAGTTAGTCTTTGGTGAGTTTTCCAGAATAATTAAACAGATTTCGAAAAGTATTCGTTATAAAAATGCGCTTCTGAATTTTTAATAAAATCTTTCTGGACGACAAATGTTATTAATCTGACCTACTTGTATTTCCTTTATGCAGCTCTAATCACCATCAAATTTTTCGATTAATATTTTGTCCAATCCTAGAATCGTCATCAGTATGGGTTTAATGAATGTATGGTCCTCAGGTATTTTTCCAAGCATCTCATTTACGATTTGATACCCAAAACATTAACCAAAAAGTATTCAGTCGATACATAAGAGGTGTGGAAATTATCAAGCGATTTCAAGCAGTGTTTCATTGATGTTTCTCAGATATCGTCATTAACCGAGGTGGAGAGGTTCACTGAAAACTTTTTGGCACTCAAATACTTGTATTTATGATAAAGTAAACTCTCCACATCACTTCTGTAATATTTTAAATTACTAAAGCATATAAGCTAACAACAATATTAACCGAAATTCAGAGTATCTCTTTGCTTCTCACACTCCAATATACTTCCACAATCAGCATAAGAAATAGCCTATTATATCGCTAAACTGCTAACAGACTGATAACTGTCGGATAAGCCAGTAGAGTCGTAATCTGCTCCACAACAGTTAAGTACTTAAAAAGCACCTGTTAGATGTGAAAGCCTCATTCTGAATCTGCTGTAAAACTAATGAAAACAAATGCTCGAAAGCAAAAAATTAACTTTCCGAATTTGAGTCCAGCTTCACATAAATACAATAAAAACAATTCGTTGCAGTCTACAGAGAACATTCATATACACATACATTTTTTTCATGTACATATGAACATCTAAGTAACCGAGTAAAGCAAATTACTGCCAAAGTCATATTAAAATTTTTTTTTATTTCATTATTCCTCACTTAGGTTACACGGCAAATTAAATGAACAGCATCATTTGTACTGTCTGGCAGCATTCGCAATGGTTGGTCGCGTATTTAATAGTTGGCTCAGGTTGGAAGTTTATTGCTTGCCACGCTTCTTAGCGTAGACATTTCTAGTTGGATTCGCATTTGATAAGCCAATAACCCACAACAGCCATGACTGGGTATTATATTTATGCATATAACAAACGTATGGTATGCAAAGCATATAAGATCTTGAGAACCCATATGTATGAATGTATGCATTCATAGACACATGTGAAGTATCTACGCAAGTTGGGTAGCAAAATATTCATACATACATACTAAATTCTTCTACAGAGTGTTTAGTAAAAGTTTATTTGCTTTTGGAGTTATACGAAATTAGAATTTTACTTATTTTGTCTTTGTATATCTCTATAGTTTTAGTTTTTACTTCATTAAAACACCTGCAAGTAAAAAAGATTTCCCATAACAGATGATTAAAAGTGGGGAATGAAAATTCTTATGTTATATACATATATAAACTTTTCGGTATAATATCGTTGTAATTTCTGTGACATAATCGGTGAAAACGAAATAGTCAAAAATTGTTAAACTAAGTTTAGTTGCTCGAAGAGATTTAGAAGTGTTAACCTTAGGTTGTTTTGTACCTAGTGCTTGATACTGAAATGCAACATTTATCGTTAAATAAATACCGATGTTTTATAATTATGCAATACCTATTCTTTTGAAAAGGTCTCGTACTCCAGGGCAACTTTCGGACATTAGTTCATGGTCCTACGGCAGAAACACTCTTCACTGTTGTGTTGTGTTGGGTTTAGATAAAATTAATAATTTGACGGTCGAAACACCCTTTTCTCAACGCTTTTAACCTGTCACAAATCTACTGCGGGAGACTTCCCGACGATAACCTTACTCTTGAAAAAAAAGAAAAGTTCAGAAAAATTAAATACATTTTTTGTCCTTAATCGTTTAATTTTAATAAACAAAATCACCGAAAAGTTATTTAAAATAAATTAAATGAATATGTTTGAGATAACTACAGACATTTACTTATTATTAGAATATTTCCATTCCATTATCACTTCAACCCAATAATTTTGGTTGCATTTCCAAGCCAAGAAATTGTATCCAAATCAACGTAAGAATCATTTCTGATACCCATTTTCTTCTCGTTAAAATAACGTTTTAACAGACATTCAAACATAACCTTCAATCGATGGTCAATACGCAAGCGACCATATTTAATATTTACATATGTATAAGCATGTAAGCACTCGAGTCCATCGCCTGATAAGTTGTCTGCAACTCATTGTACTAATGACGCTTTTTCACTGCCAGCACACGCCTTGGCCGCTTTAAGACATCACTTCCATCCGAACGTTTCCCAAACGAAGCTGACGGCTGAAACACTTCTCTTGACAGTAGCTATGACAGCTAAGCGGCAGCAATTCAGCAATTACTCGTTTCATATGCTAACTAAGTCAAAACCAGCCATTAATTCACTATGACTAACTGAATTCTTGGCCATTAGTTAGGTAAACATATCCATACACGACATGGACTGGTTACTACTCACAAGTGCTCGGTACGTAAAGTGGTCAGGTGCACTCATCATTGTTCCATCATTTACATTTTCACGCGATTGTGAGTTGTTGCGAACAGAATAATCGTGTAATTGAATGTGAGTTTACCGGCATATTTGAGCTTTAATTAACGATAATAGCACAACGCTTAGAGCTGGATACATGTGTGATTATGAGCTGGGAGTCAGATACTCGTGTTGCAAGAGAAATATAGGTTTAATATGCATAGTATGTATTTGTGAGTTCCAATGGCTATTAAAATGAAATTCCTTTGTCACGGTTGACTATTAAATTGAGTAGGTCAACGAAAATTGTCAATGATTCGGATAGTAAAAACGGATGAAACCTTTGGCAGAGAGAAGAGGTGCAAAGTCTCAAGTAATTTATTTCATTTAACTATTTAATTGATATATTTTAATTTATATGGACATAAAAGCTAATTTTATTGCCA